AAAATAAATGCCACCAGGGCGAGCATCTCATTCGAAAGTTATAAAAAAAAAACCCCCCCTTTTTTGTACAAAGTGCCCGGCAAAAAGTCCCGCTCTATAATATCCCTTCCCTTTCTATGCGTGCGTGCGTGCTTGACTGACTACTACTAAACCCATCCGGGCCGGGGGTCCCCCCCATCTCAGGCGAGGCGATCGAGCTTATGAGACGGAGCAGGCGCCGGTGGTCTCGGGTCCGAGCTTCTTGGGCTCGCTGCCCTTGGCGACACCCTCGTAGGTCAGGCAGGGGGTCTCGACGCCGGACACGTCCGTGTTGGTGATTTTGGCAGTGTCTCCGAAGTTGACGTTGATACCTGAGGCGCGCCTGGTCAGTGACGGTCCCCGGCGGCGGGCAGCGGGGGGAGGAGGAAGGGGGAGGAGGAGGGGAAGGAGGAGGGGAAGGAGGAGGGAAGGAGGAGGGAAGGAGGAGGGAAGGAAGGGGGAGAGAGAGAGCTTACCGGCCAGGGTGGTGACACCGGAGGCATTGATGTTGTCCAGGATGATGTGGCGCTCGTGGCTCGCCGCGCAGTTACCGCACGCGCGGACCAGCGTCTGGGCGCCGTCGACCGTGAAATCGGAGACGGAGAGCGTGCCGGCACCGTTGAATTGGAAGACCTTGTCCTCGGCGCCCGAGGCCGACCCGCCGATGATGGTGGTCACCTCGCCGGCTTCCTGTTCGCGGACGGTGAAGGCATCCTCGCCTGGGAAGGAGACGGGGGGTTAGTATATGCGGTGAGGCGTGCCCGGGAGGAGCAGCTACTTACAGACTTTGGTCCAGACGACGTTGGTCAGGGTGCAGGCGCCCATGCAGTAGACACCCTCCAGCTGGTCGGGCCCGATGACCACGTTGGACAGGGTGGCGCCCTTCTCGAGGATGAAGACGGGGTCCTTCTCACCACCCTCGGATTGGCCAGAGCAGGGAACACCACGGTCGAAGGTGCCGCCTTGGCCATCGAAGGCGTCGCCAGCGGCGATGACCTGCGGCGCGTCGAGGACGGTAGTGGCACCGCCACCGGAAGGTGGGGGGGGAGGGTTGGACGGGGCGGGAGTGTCTCCCTCTCCTCCGGTAGGAGGGGTCGTAGGCTCAGGCTTGTCGCCATCCTCTCCGGTAGGAGGGGTCGTAGGCTCAGGCTTGTCGCCATCCTCTCCAGTAGGAGGCGTCGTAGGCTCAGGCTTGTCGCCATCCTCTCCAGTGGGAGGCGTCGTAGGCGCAGGCTTGTCGGCATCCTCTCCGCTGGGAGGGTTAGTAGGGTAGCCGGCAGGAGGGGTGGCAGGCTTCTTCTCGGACTTCTCCCCAGAGCCCCCAGAGCCAGACTCCTTCTTGGGCTGCTTCTCATTGGTCGTCTTGGGCTGCTTCTGGCTCTTCTTCTTGTCATCGGAATCCTCCTTCTTGTCATCGGAATCCTCCTTCTTGTCATCGTCCTCCTTGCTGTCAGGAGTGTCGGGAGTGTCAGGAGTGTCAGGAGTGTCAGGAGTGTCAGGAGTATCGGGAGTGTCCGGAGTGTCCGGAGTATCGGCGGGGTACTGTCGTGCTCGGAGCTTGTAGCTCACCGGGGGAGTGTCCTCGCACTCGGTGGCAGCCAAAGACTCCTCGCGACGGGCAAGGGAACTCTTGGCCTGTTCGCGGCGAGCCGGAGTGGGCGTTGCGGTGACTCCAAGGGCGAGCGCCAGCGCTGCGAGTTGAATGGCGGAGAACTTCATGTTGACTGAAGAGGTTTTTTTTTTTTTGGAAACGAGATGTGTGATGTGCTTGGTGTTGGAGTTAGGAACTGACGATCGACGAGCTAGCTCAGTCGAATGCAAACGAAAGTGAAGCGGTTCGGGTGTAATACAAAAATGATATCAAACTTGAATGATGGAGTGAAGAAGAGAGTTGAACTGCTGAAGAGTGATGAAGAACCGAAAACGATGATGAGCTGATGAGAGAAGATAGGATGAAAGTATCCCGACTTATATACACCGAATCGACAAGCCAAAAGGGGGTTGCTCAGAAGTGCAGCGCGATCATCGTCTAGGCGGCATCATGTTTCGCAATAATGAGGACTATACAGAAGGCCTGGTATTGGGCCTTGGTGTCCAAGACAGAGCTCCCGTCTGAAATCACCAGGAGGCATGACGCCAAGTTCGATCGACTCTGGCAGGCCTCTCTGTCATTGCCGTCAAAAAAAAAAACAAAACCAAAAGCACAGAATTGTCTCATGCCCGCATGAACTTCGGTTGACGTATTCCAAGCGGTGACAAGTAGCATGGCACGTTCCAAGATCGTCTCACGATAGGACGAAATATTGATGGTGGTTAGAGTTCACCCCAAATTAAGCGAGCCGTTTTATAGTTTGCGATAGATTACCCAGAGACACCGTACTTACGGGTAGAGGGCAAAAAGTGACCTAACATAACCTGAGCACAAGTGCTGTGAAGGAGAGAATGTACATCTCATCGGAGGGTAGAGGTGTCGGTGAACTGGAAGGAAGCAATCTGCTGCTTTGGAAAATGCGTCAGGTTGATGATAGCTGTAGACGAGCATCGACAAAACAAATGACTGCACTTACCACCCACGGCCAAGATTGGAAATGCAGCGCTATTTTTGGCCAAGGCAAAAGAATCTTGTCTCACTCAACATTGTGTATGCCTCGTCGTCAACCGCTGAATGTCCCGCCACAATTTAATATACTCACGAACTCTGTTAGAGTAGTGCTCTTTTTGCCCGGTCAGCTCCAGCGTCATGAGTCTGGCGAGAGAGGCTTCATTCATGGCATCTGGACATGTCAACGGGCGTCATCGACACCACGCTGTGCTCTTTCTGATTTCCACGCCCCAGGACCGCTCGCTCCGTCCCTGACTTCTGCAGAGCCTCAAAAGCTGACTGACCTCTAGGGACACGGAAGTGCGCTGCCCGATACCGACCCGGCCACGGAGCAGGCGGATGAGGGATATTGTGCTATTTGGGTCGACGATCACAGATCGGCCTCGCCCGCATAATTCCTCTACCTCATACATTGTGGGGTAGGTTTGGGCAAGCCTCAGCCACTTAAACTCGATCAACCCACCCGCCGCGCCAAACATGGGGAGGGATCGAGGAATTAAGGTTCCGAGTCCCGAGCCTGCGAAGAGGCTTAAGATAAGGTTGGTCTAAGATTAAGGTTGGGGCTAGGAGGTAGCAAGGTCAGTTACAGTAGTCGAAATTGAACCAGATCTCTTGACGAAATCCCGTCCTGAACAGAAACAGAGAGACTTTGGCAAATCGATTTAGGCTTATTATTAAGGGTAGTGAACTCTGAAGAAGAGATACGTAACTTCCATCCCATCCGGGCTCGGAGATTTCCCGAAGTCTGTCCAGATCAGCGTTGGTCAACCGGCGAGTCCTGATATTGTCTCAGTTACTTGAATCGTTGCGATGCGCGTGGCCGGATGGGGGGGTTTTTCTTTCTTTCTTTCTTTCTTTCTTTCTTCTTCTTAATATCGAGCGACGTTTAGCGGATGCAAAAAATAATTCCACTCTACTCGAGGCGTGGCAGATGCAGTGGGCCGGCCATACATAGTATGATTACTTATTACTACCGGGAACGATTCTCGATCAGGTGCGGCCAACTCGCGCCAAGCTCCACCATCCCCTGCCCTCTGTCGCTTCCGCTTGCTTCAAACCATCAATAACGAGTCAGGCTAGGCGACCAACCAACTCAAGCTCATCTTCATCTGCAAATCGATGCGCATCCAAAGACAAGAAGGGTGCGACTCAAAATCGCATGACGTGTTGGCTAGAGTGCCGTCGAGCAGAGAATCGAATTTTCAGAATGAGTGCAGAGGAAGGACGGGCGCATCAATGCTGAGCGACAAGTACTCTGCTACAACTACAACTGAAGCTGGTAGATATCAGGGCATAGCGTGCTCGAGCCTTGGCGACTGACATTTATAGTACGTCGGTTGAACTTACCTACGTAGCTACGTCGTCATTTGAGCCGCACTCCTTAAGTAGTACAATAACCACCCTCTGGACTGTAGAGCGACAAGCGAGATTTCAGAGTGGGAAAAGCCAAGTCTGAATAGGATCAACAACCTTACACAGCTCGTCTCCACATTAGCGTAGCGTAAGCGTCCCTCTCGCGCGGTTAAGGATCATGATGGGGCGCTGCCTTGCATCGTGCATAGCCTCTCTCTTAACTTAGTCGGAGTATTTATTGGCATGAGCCGAGAAGAAGATAAGAAGGCGCCGAGCTAAGGGAGGGGTAAAATCCCCAAGAACCTAATCGCCCTTTTTCCCCTTCCCCCTATCCGCTCTTGCATCTTCCGCCCCCCTTTCAAGCCCCCGTGAACTCTCGTACCAAGAAAGCCACATATGGGCGGCTGGTGCGATTGAGTAATGGGTAGGGCAATCTATATTGTCTTGACGAGTGGGGGGGGTCCAGAGGGGAGTCGAGCGGTTAGAGTTTCATTCCCTGCGTTCCCTTGCAACTTTAGCCTTTTGAATAATCATCGCTAGGAGAATAAGGTACGTAGTAGGTACCACCAGCACGGGAACGAAAGACTGGGAGGGAAGCCGTTAAGTTCTCCTCGACTTCGACCTCCTCTGAAGACGTCACGCTGTAGTATCGCCGTTGACGAGTCTAGCCGGGTCACCCCCGTACCACCGTACGTACTCGGTTCTTCCCGTAAGTCGGAACCACGGGAATTCTGGATCTGTCCGATGTTGATTGTGACCAACGAGGCCAATAGGAGGCGAGCTACAATCAACTGGAAAACTGGAGCGACACAGTAATAGAGCTGAAACCTAGTTCGAAAAGCGTTGACAAGGGCCAAGCCACTTCGCGCCGATCGAGTACTTGGTAGCTAGTACGTAGTACGTACTACCCTTACCACAGTTGTCGGGCCGTCTCTGGCCCCTCACCGTTTGTGCATGCAACGGCTTCCTAGGTAGTTAGTTATTACTGTACCGGTACTGTATCGTGCTCGTGGTGCTCACGGTGCTCATGGTGCTCACGTGAGTCCTGCCACATCCCTTGCGTCTGATATCGAGGCAATAGGGGTCGCTACACCGCACTCACTCCTTAATCGATACCATCCATGCTCACTACAGTACCACCCTCCTACCCTCTTCGTCTTTGGGTCTCAGTTTGTTGCGTACGCAATATCTTCTATTGACCAGGGGAGTTACCCTTCGCTTTATCGAACAATACGGTGACCACACATGACATTCTACGAAGAAGTACAAAGCTGTGAAAGACGCGGGGGAGAAAGTTGGCTGTGACGAATCCCGCGCGCTTAGGAATATGTAATTCAGTGTAAAGGTCCGTATGTTTAGCCAAGGCGGTTGAGAGAGGAGAGGATTGAGTTGAAGAGAGCCAGAAAAGGCTAGGGCATCGAAAGAAGCGCAGTTGGGTAATAGGAGATGCGGAATCGATATGGTGCTCTAATTTGGTCCAGTTGACTTTGCGATAGGTATGCAGATGATCCGGTATGTGTGTGTGAGAGAGAGACCGAGGCTCACCTGATAATTGCGCACAGGAAATCGCAACCTTGTTATCAAGAGGGACTAACCTCTTCTCAAAGTACAGAAAAAGGGGGAAGGGGCAACCCATTCTCTCACCGTCAGATCCCTAGATTGGGGGCAATCGGGTGCTGGTCAGACTGCTTGGTCTAAGGGTGGTCTCGGTCGCCCGCGGCTTGGAAAAGTCTAGACCTCAAAAACCCCAGGCAGGTTTTCTAGCCTGGGGTGTGAAATAACGCTTTCCCGACTAATGGCTTTGGTGGGCAGGTTTGAGAACCTCGGTTTCGGTCACGGGGATCTATTTGCATGAATTTAGATTGGTCAGGTTGGGCAGCGCTGAAGGTTCGGATGAGGAGGCTCGGGACTTAAAAAGTGCATAAAATCTAGAATGTTGAGATGAGAAGCAGTTCCAGAATTCGTAAACAAATGCATGACATGCACAAATAGAAGAATTGAGTGTATTATTTATGTATGTATTCAATCTGATGCAATCTAGTCCGCCCAATTGCGCCAGCGGTAGGTACTGTAGCACAACGTAAAAATTCCATCCCGTACCATGCTATGCTGTGCTATTGTTGCTATTGCTACACACAAAAAGGCAGAAAAACAACAAACAAATACGCAAGCCCATTCTGTTACCCGGCCCGTCCATCAGATCCAAATTGTAGTTCTATCACCAGCTATGTATCGTACAATCCGCAATCCACACTGTCACCATCACCATCACCACCTCGCGAAGCAGCTTAGCCTGAGCCAGTGAGTGTGATATATAGATATCCACACCATAGCATGCCAACAACCAGCCTTCGCAGCGAAGGGAACGAGAACCCGACGATCGAGAGGACCGTCTGGTCTCGAAGACACTTCTTCGCTGCGCGTGGCTTGAGATGATACCGGAATGACAGACAGCGCAGAGAAAAAGAAGCATGCGCACCCATTCCGCCGCACCGTACCGCACCGCACTCCGTCCAATACACACACACACACGCTATCCGTGGCACAACGTCGTCAAGCATACAAGCTCCGAGGCGCAGCGAGGGGAACGAGAGGAACCAGACCCCGTGATACATTCCAGATCAAGGTCAGGGACTCCCGAAGAACACATCCTCGCTGTCCCGGAACAGGGGCTCCGCCGACGCCGCCGCCGCACCCCCCTCTTCTTCCGCGGCCCCGGCAAACGCGTCCTCGAACTTCGCCATCGACAGATGGTGATGATCCGCCGCGGCGGGGAGCATCTCCCCCGAACTAGCCGCCGCGAACGCCTCGAGGAACATCTCGTCGTCGCGATTGGCGTTGTCGTGTTCCGAAAGGTGCGCGAGCCCGTTCAGGTGGTCCGTCGCGCCGTCGTGGTGGTTGCCGATGTCGAGGTCGTAGTAGATGCTCGCTGCCGGGCTGCTCGAGGACTCGCACAGGCCTGGGGGCGAATGGTAGCTGCTGTGCATGCTCTTGGCGGGCGAGGCCGGGTGCGAGGCGCCATGCGTGCTGGAGGCGATGGAGGCACGGTGGGAGCGGACGCTCTCGGCGCTGGGGGAGTGCCGGGCCGGGTGGATGGCCTGAGGAGAGACGCAGTGGCTGGGGGTGGGTGAGCGGGGGTGCGAGTATTCGAAGCTGGCGCGCTCTGGGGCAGAGGACTGCTGCATGTAGTGGCTTTGCTGCGTGTACTCGTAGTTCGCGAAAGGCTTGTCGTCCAGAATGTCGGCTTCGCTGCGCGGCGACGGGCCACCGCGACTTTCGGACCCGGAGGTGGAGGACGACATGGAAGAGGCCGTCTTGTTCTTGCTTCGCGTGCGCGAGGCTTTGTTGACTCGCTCTTCCGTATCCGGCCGGTTCTTACGAGGGCGGCCACGCTTGACGACCTTCTTCACCACGCCCTCCAAAGCTCCGATACACATTCCGCGCTGTCGGTGGCGAGTCAGAGCATCGTGGCGGGCGAAACTGTTACCACATTGGCATGGGTATGGCTTTACGCCGCTGTGGATCTTGGCATGTCGCTTCAGATCGTGCTGTCGGACGAAGCATTTCTTGCAGTGAGGGCACTGAAATTGTCTGTCGCCGAGATGTGTCTGGACATGCGACTTGATGTTTTCTTTACGACCGAATCGCTTCTTGCACTCGGGGTACAGGCAGATCCATTTACCGTCGCTGGGATCTGGTCCGGAGATGAAGTTGGCGATATCGTCGATGGTGATTCCAGTGTCGGTAATAGACTCCTCCAGGTTGATGCTGTCCACAGATTCAGATCTACGATGCGAGGGGTGGTGGGTATGGTGAGATTGGTGAGATCGGTGAGAGGGCGAGTTCGACATGGGAAGAAGATTGGCTACATGTTCGGGATATGACATCGTGTTCGGCTCCAAACCGAGTTTGTTGACAAAGGGGTCGCCAAACATCGCATCCTGCATGACCGCGGGCGAAGAGGCATGGGAGGGGTGAAAAGACATGGATGGCGTCATATCGTTTGGCGGGAACTGCGGACTGCTGAGTTGCTCATCCTTCAGGAACTCCAGGTTGATATTTGACATGTTCATGAAGTTGGCGGTTGGCATAGGAGCAGAGTCGAAGCTGTGTGGGTTGACCACTGTCCCGGCTTGGGGAGAACTGGGCATGTAATTCCCCTCGGCTGCCTTTCTCATATCGTCGAAAATGCCTCGGGCTCGCTGGTTTCCCTTGGGCTTAATCGTTTCTTCCATTGAAGAATCGTAGGTGTCCAGGAATCTCTGGTTCATCTGCTCCTGCTTGACCATACGATCGTGTGGAGTGTCCACAGGTGTGGGGGGGAAGTAACCTGGGGTTGTCAGTCAAGATCTCTCCTTCCACTGGACTTTACGTACGCGATACATTCTGGTTCGTGGGTGTGATTGGGCGGCACGGCGATTGAAGTGCGAGGTGCTCGAATTGGTTAACTCTGTCTAGTATCCCTCCACTGATCCTTCTTCCGGCCGAGTTCCTTCTGCTGTGACATGCGCTGTTCGTTCCCTGGCTCGCATTCTCGAAACCAGCCGAGAAGTCCAAATACGCAGAAGGGGTCATGACCTCGGGCTGGTACATGTTGTTGAAGTCTTGGTTCCCATTGAAGCTATTGGGATCGACTTGGATGATCGTATTGATGGGCCCCGGAAATTGGAACTGAGACTGGGAGAGCCTGTGTCCGTACTGGTTCGTACATCCGGCATCAAAAGATTGTCGCTGGGGGGTGACGCAGGGCGAATTGAGGCAATTCTCGTCATTGTCGTATTGAGCAAATCGCTGGCCCGGGCGTGCCAGTCTTTGCTGCTGCGTTTCTCGCAAAATATGCTGTGGTTGTGTCGATTGATATCCTGGGTTAGTATTTCTTGTCGTATAGTCCTGCGCGGGTGATGTTCGTCGTCGTTGATCCAGGCTCATGCCACGTCTGTGGGAGTTGTGGCGCTGGATGGTGGGCAGGTTGGAAGCCTTCACTGCTTCGAATGCATTAGGTGTCGATTGTTGGCGTCGGTGTTGTCGTTGTCGTTGTCGGTTGTGAAGGGCAGTGGTAGGATTGGACAGCATTATGAATGCTCGAAGAGTCCGGAAAAGTCGTCGTTGAAAGTAATGCAATGAAGCACACCTGGGTTCCGAAACTACAGTGAGAGCGTTAGTTTTGGTAATGGTAATGAGCAAATGAGGGAAGTCTGCGAAGTGTGGAGAGGGAGTAGAGCTTCAAGCGAAGGTCGTCTGTCTGAAAGTAAACAAATGAGCAGTTGCTCGACGAAGCCTGCCCCAAGTCCCTGATCCAACACGACAATATTCCATTGTAGAGAGCAAATGATTGCGAAGCCCAGGAAACTCCGTACCTCACGCAGCGCAAGCCGTTCGGCCGGGCAGATTGAGATTGTAGGGCTGCTCAGTCGGTTGTTGTTGACTCGGGGAGCCCTTCTAGGATATGGGTTGGGCCTTCCTCAGGCCGTGGGTGGAGGACGAAGAGGATGTGGGTGGGTGAGTGTTCGTGTACTCGCGACCAGAGGAAGGTAGGTGGATGGGTATCTACAGTAGTATGCAGGGTGTTTTGTTTGTGGCAAAGTTGTAGAGTTTTTGAAGCTCGAAGCAAGATGTGATGCGGATACTTTGGTGGATGCAGATGTACAATCCGAATTTCAAGGCCCCGGCTAGAGAGCTAGAGCGCGAAAGTCAACAGCAACGCATCTCCTGGGCAACGGAACTTCACTCGCCAACCCCAGCCCGGCCGGCGACCGAGCTCCTTCATCCCGACTGTCTGGTTGTCGCCGACGCTGTCCTCGTCGTCGCCCTATCAACCAAAACCTCGACTCGACAATTTCCCACGCACTTAATCACTGCGGTCAACCAGCGACCGCTGTCTTGCACCTACCTATAAACCCCCCCACCATACATACTAAATACGCGCTTGCAAAGGCCGACAAGAGGATCCAATACTGCTTCATAACACAACACAAGACCGTACAATCCTCCACGGCCCACCTCCAGGATGGCCTCTACCACAGGCACCATGAGGGGGACCCCGAGTCGCGGCGGCAATCGAGGCACGGTGCCAGCATTCCCCAACACCAACAGTCCGGCCTCGAGTATCCCACGCCCGACTCTGGAAAATCACACCACCCAGAGCGAAGCTGGCGGATCGAGCATGAGTGTGAGCAGGCAGAAGCAAACCAAGAAAGATGAGGTGCGTGGAAACGAGAAGGAGACAGATATGTAGGGCCGGGTTTGTTTGCTTCGGGACACCTCTGACAGGATATCCCATTCTAGGCAATCCGAAGAAAGATCGAGACGGATCTCAGCAAGAAGAGGCATACCACCAGTCGGGCCAGACAGACCCGAAAAGCCCCCCCTGGAACCGTCCTCGCTCTCCGCCCGAGTCAAGCTCTCCAGATCAAGCCCAACACCACCGTCGCCGAGGCTGCGCAGCTGATGGCCGCAAAGAGGGAGGACTGCGTACTGGTGACCGACGATGAAGACCGGATTGCCGGTATCTTCACCGCAAAAGATCTGGCATTCCGGGTCGTTGGAGCCGGGATCAAGGCCGGCAATGTGACCATTGCCGAGATCATGACCAAGAACCCGCTCTGTGCGAGGACGGATACAAGTGCTACGGATGCTTTGGACCTTATGGTCCGAAAGGGCTTCCGCCATCTTCCCGTGATGGACGAGAACCAAGATATTTCGGGTATCTTAGATATTACAAAGTGCTTCTACGATGCCATGGAAAAACTGGAACGCGCCTACAGCTCCTCGCGGAAGCTCTACGATGCATTGGAGGGTGTTCAGTCAGAGCTTGGGTCGAGTCAACCCCAGCAAATCATCCAATATGTGGAGGCTCTGCGATCGAAAATGTCGGGGCCCACGCTGGAATCAGTCCTCGACGGCAAGCCCCCGACCACCGTCTCCGTCCGGACATCGGTGAGAGAAGCAGCGGCATTGATGAAGGAGAACCATACCACTGCGGTATTGGTCCAGGACCAAGGCTCGATCACTGGTATATTTACCAGCAAGGATGTTGTACTGAGGGTCATCGCACCTGGGTTGGACCCTGCGACTTGCAGTGTTGTCCGTGTTATGACCCCACACCCTGATTTCGCTCCCATGGATATGAGTATCCAAGCTGCCCTCCGAAAGATGCACGGTGAGACAACTTTGCACCCTTTCCCTTTGTTTCTTCGCTGATCTCCATTCTTCAAGATGGCCACTACCTGAATCTCCCAGTCATGAACGAGGCCGGAGAAATCGTCGGAATGGTCGATGTTCTCAAGCTGACCTATGCTACCCTGGAGCAAATCAATACCATGTCCACCGGGGACAGTGAAGGTCCGGCATGGAATAAATTCTGGCTCTCGCTTGAGAACGAGACGGAATCGATCATGTCTGGGGAGGGCAGTCACCACCACACCCAAGGAGCGAGATCATTAATGTCACCTGACATGTCCCGGGGCCATGAGCGGATCGTTGACGCCAGCGTTGCGCCCGGAGATTCTGCATCTCACATTGGGGTCGAGTCACCACCTCACTCGGTTGTCACTAGCCCAGCGGAACAGAATGTGGATGAGATCCCCTTCCCATTCAAGTTCAAGGCTCCCAGCGGCCGTGTTCACAGACTTCAGGTCATTGCGGCCAATGGAGTCGCAGAGCTCATCGATGCGGTTATCTCCAAACTTGGCGCAGAAGTCGACGCCGTTGGAGGCATGGCAACTTCCGAGAACGGTAAAGTTGGCGCTTCTGGGTTTGCCCTCAGCTACTTGGACGATGATGGAGACACCGTTGCTATCACCACGGACCACGATTTGCTGGATGCCATTATTCTTGCCCGTCAAGGACACCGTGACAAGGTCGACTTGTTCGTTCACGACCCCGAGAAGCCCCCTATTAGCGCCACTCTGGATCCCCGTCTCGTCATCCCTAACGAGCCGACCCCACCTCCATCTTCCATCCGCGAGCGAAAGAAGATTATTTCCGAGGATGACGAGAGCGACGAGGAGCTGCCAGTCAAACGCAGAAAAAATACCTCCCCGCCTGTCCAACAGCAGGCCGTTGCTGGTGTCCCGAACGAGCTTTTGCTACCTGGGGCGATTGTAACTTTAGCGGTGGTTATCGTTGGTGTGTTTACTTTGACTCGCTTGACGAGCCGTAACTAATCATTGTTTCGATGGGAGCGTGATTGCGGGGAGCGTGATTACTGGGAGAGATAGCGAGAGAGTTAGAGTGTATTAGATTGCAACGGGAGCGTTTGGGTTACTGTATATTTTGTCTCTATTATATCCAGAGTGCTAGCATTAAGAGCCGGTCATGAGATTGATCTAGAGGCTCTGGCTTGTTAAATCTGTCTCTATACGATGATGCTCTGTTTCCCTTCAGTCAAATTATATATTGAGTGTGAAGCTTTCGTCATTATCTTGTAAAGCTTCGTCTGATGGTTGACATTTAGGTATGCATCCCAAAGTACACTAGCGTGGTGGGTCCGATTTTTATATATCGTATCGTACTTTATCTTCAACATCAAAATACCATACCTCGGGACAGCAGACAACAGTGCCGTCACCAACAACCATGATCCTCCGAAATGTAGCCATACGGCATGGCATGTCTCCCCGCACCCCCTGATACATGTGTACTGTCAACTAATTAATTGATTCTGCAGGCCGCAAGGCTCTAGCAGGACCCCTCCGAATCTCCTCCATCCGCTCCCTCATGACCGAAAGCCTATCCGACCCAACCACCTCCTCCGACTTGAAACCCAGCATCGTAGACCTCAACCAAGTCACATCATCTTCCTCCTCCTCCTCACCCCCTAGCGAACTCCACCTGGCCCAATCCCTCTCCTCTACCGGCGAAGCAAATCGCCGCGCTCAACCGCGGAGGGTCCGGGAGTCCACGAGTGTCCGCCGCAAATACAAGCTCCAACGCTTCATCAAAAAGAACATAGGGCACCTAGGCTCAGTCTTAGAGCCGCATTACACCCCTGGCCAGGTCATCGTCGACCCGCCGAAGCCAGAGGATGTGACGCTGGAGCTGCTCATGGCCAGCCAGTCTCACTTGGGCCACAGCACCAGCTTGTGGAACCCGATGAACCAGCGTTACATCTTTGGTGTGAGGCAGGGTGTGCATATCATTTCTCTTGAGACGACGGCTGCGCATCTGAGGCGCGCGGCGAAGGTGGTAGAAGGCGTTGCGTATCACGGCGGACTTATCCTGTTTGTGGGCACGCGACCGGGACAAGGCCCAGCGGTGGTGAAGGCGGCAGAGGTCGCCAAAGGCTGTCATCTCTTCGAGAAATGGATTCCGGGGTCGATCACCAATGGGGATCAGATATTGGCCAAGTGCGAGGTCAAGGCCGTGGGCATCAACGACGAGTACATCGAGGGCTTTGAGGACAAGGTTGCGGACTGGAAGGCGCTGAAGCCGGATTTGGTCGTGTGTATGAATCCGCTAGAGAATTACATCCTGCTGCATGAGTGTGGGCTGAATAATATCCCGACGATTGGGGTGATTGATACGGATGCGGATCCGACGTGGGTCACGTATCCCATCCCGGCGAACGACGACAGGTCTGTTCCCTCTTCCATTACATCGACCTCACGGCATCTTTGCTAATCTGTATTCCCACAGTCTACGCTGCATCCAAGTCATTGCCGGCGTCCTCGGCCGTGCTGGTGAAGAGGGTCAGCGGAAACGTCTTGCGGCTGCCCAGACTGGCGAGTCAACCTGGCTACCGCCTCAGGGACTGGGCAAGCCGTACGACGAGGAAGAAGAGAAGAAGAAGAAGCAAGAAGCGGAGATGTTGGCCAAAGCCAAGAGCCGTGCGGAGGAGAGGGCGAAGATGTCTCTGGAGGGAGGAGATATTGACCCGGTGGAGCATGAGCTGTAGAGCACCGAGGCACTGGGCTGAGGTCTGTAGAGATAGGTGTGTAGGTGTACGATGCATCGCATGGGAGGCGTCTTGATCTGGCTCGGCCCCTCCCCATACTGACTTGTTTCCCTGCATCACATCCAGTCCCTTCTGATAATTCTGCTTGTTATGATCTCGCTCAGCTTCTTACTACCTGGCCCGAGTGCAATTTGTGGTCATACGAGGCGCAGATGCATAATCAACATCTACTCTGTAGGAGGCCTCTACAGTTCTCTCTCTCTCTGTACTTCCACTTCCAAGGCATGTCTTGTCTTTTTCATGCCCGAGAATTTCTCTTCCTTCTCGGCTTCTACTTGCTCCAGTGTCTTCATATTCCGAGGTGCTTCTTGTTTGTTTATATTTCTCATTTCTTAGGCTAGGTAGCTTCTTCTCGGCTTCCCTTGGTTTGCCTACTACCCAGACTCGCATCGTCGTAGTGCACTTCGTTGAGCGCCGGTACTGTATGACCGAACCGGACCCAGCCAGCTGCAGTGCCCCGCTCCCACCGGCCCTACGCCCCTACTGTACGACCTTCCCTCTGTCTTATCCTCTCACCTGGTTTCTGATCCACCACAACATACGTGAAGCAAATCTCATCTTGCAGACCAGATCAGCACCAATAGCAACGTGCATAGTCCAAGGGATGGTGCATAGTCCACGGGATGGCGCATATTGCCAGGGATAGTGCATGCCATGCTCACTTCGGCATCATATTCTTCCATCGCCTTTCCATGTATGAAAAAGGAGGAAAAAGAAGGAAAGAGCTCGCTTGTGTACTGCTTGGTAGTACCGGTATCCAGTTCCACCGCCGCAGTCGAGTGACGCAGTCGTCATTTCCCCTTTTCCACATCTAAGGCAAACTTTTAAATAACATCATCGTCATCATGATGATCAAGAGCTAGCTGTTCCTGTGTAAAATCTCCTTCTCTGCACAACTCCATCTCACTCTTCTTTCTGACCGCAGTCATTCATTTCAACCCTCTGCTTCACTTCTTCTTCACATCTGCTCCCTACACCCTCTCTGCTCTCTCCTTTCCTCCTCAAATTGTGGAACTGTTACTTTGCATTGTGGCTTCGAAGATGCGTCTCTCCATCCTCCCCCTCCTTGCTGTCGTCGCTGGGGGTGATGCCAAAACGCCTAGCAGGTGGTCAGGATACATGAATCCCCAGTAAGCAGCAGTTTTTCTCCATCTCTCTATAGCCTAAGATCCAAATTGTCTCTCAAGATAAGATCAAAAACACGAATCCTATATCCTCCCTCTCTTCCTCCTACATCTCCGCTAATCCACACAATAGAACACCAATCAACACCTCCCGCATGGTCGACAGCTCGCCCTCCCTACTCGTTGGCTCGTACTTGAACAACACGCCCCATCTGACCGACATCATCGGGACGTGCAAGAACCAGCAGGGCGGCATAGTGGTTCGGAGTGACTGTCAGCGCAGCGTGTTGAGCATAGGAATGGCGATGGGACTGTCCGTTGTAAGTTCTTGTTGCGATGACGCGGAGAGGATGATGTGTTGGCTGATTGCTCTGGGTGCGGTAGCTGAGCTGGAAGACAACAGACTGGTGGGCCGGTGCGTTTGGGCCGAATGGTAGTAATCGGAAACGAGCCTTGGATGCAGCGGATGATTTTTTCTCGCACCTCCCGGACAGCTTGGCTATCAGTAACATCAAGATCCAGGGCACCGCTCTCCCGGCTTCGTCTACTGCTCGCTCTTTGCACCGCCGTAAATCCGGAGCCGAGGAGTTCTGTGTCTTTTACAATGGTTCGCTGCCCTTGACGTTCATGGTGCACCATCAAGTCAAAACACCCACATCAGCTGCCACCGACGCCGTCGCTGACGCCGCCGCTGCCACGGTCGCTGACCAACACTTCATCCCGCTGTTCGTAGCCACGGATGGATCTAAGATGTTGCTCACACACGTCGCTCCCATTTCTCAGCTCGCTCCTGCTCCTGGCGCCGGAACCTTGAAAGCGAGAAGCGGCTTCGACGAATACAACCACGTCGGCGCTGGTGGCATCAAACTATTGGCTAACTCCGATCCGGTTGCGAGCTGGGCTGACGTGATGAACTGGCTGAATAGCAGAACGGAAAATGGTGGGACTACACCATATCAGTCTGTCTACAGCATAGCGGCTTTCGGAAACTATTTGGGCCATAGCCTGGTCAATACCGTGCACGACGGGAAGAGTGCGTGGGGTTACAACGCCCAGTTTGCTATGGAGGGGTTCGACCACGTGAGTTGCGTTTTCAGCTCCTGTTGCTCCATGCTTTCATTGCGGTTTTTGTTGACTCGAGATACGTAGGGTTTTGCGCCAGACTGGGAGGATGACTTCAACTGGTGCTTTGGCGCTTATCCTACGAACTGCGAATCTTAGAATGGATGAGTGGGATTTTGATAGATGAGGGTGGCTGGACTTTCTCAGGCTGAGCTGGGCAGGGCTGGTTCTTCTGCCTATTTTCTTTCTGCTGTGCTGTTTGAATCTGTTAATCCTAATCGTATGGTCTTGGTCAAGTGAGTGTCTTTTGTTCCGTGAGTTTGTTATACCGATGGAAAATTGGTGCGAAGAGATAGGAGCGATTCCTGATCATTACAAGCTCCTATTCGAAGGATTTATCAAATTTCTTAAGCGATTCAATAGTTCGCAAAGGTAAGTACTAGTAAGTGTCTCTACATCAAATCTGCCATTCCGGCCCTATTTCAATAGCGGGTGTTCCTCCTTCCAAGACGGGGGCTTCCTTTGTTTTGTTGATTGATCTTTCGCCTAACGATCGATGGCGGGTGGGGTCCGACTCGTGCCTGCCAAGTCTGTCTTTATTCGTGAGAATTTCATCAACTTTCAATACTCAACGCTAAATATTCGATCAAGTCGGTCATATCAGTCACATCGTGTCTCTCTTTCTCGAGAGACAGAGCGAGAGAGAGAGAGAGAGAGAGAGAGTTTATACCGTATCCCTAACCCAACATCCATACTTCTGGCTTTGGCTTTGGCTCACTCGATCTGCTCTTCCCACACTTGATACCTGACACTTGATACCTGACACTTGATACCTATTGGTTCCCGTATCCCGACGTAGACTCTCCCAGCCAGCTAGCTGGCTAGCGAGCTAGACTTTTTGTTGCTGTTTGTTTGTTTGTTTGTACCCTGCCGCCTGCTGCAGCTCAGGTATCTCTGCATTATCTAGTATCAGGTGTGGTTGGTTTACGATGGCGATGCGCGTGCGGCACAGCATCGTTCTCCTATTCATTCTGCTCTATCGCCTTGTCCACCGCCGCCGCCTCATTCTCCCTCTCCTCCCCTTTCCCCCTCCCTCTCCTCCCATCACCGCCCCGTCTCTGCGCTCTTACCCCTGCCTCCTTTATGTATCCCCCCTCGTCTTCGTCCTTTCCCTCGCCCTCGTCCACCTCTTCTGCCTTTGTGATCGCCGCGCGCCATATTAGCTTCTACGAGCTTCTTCAGCTCCTTGACTTCGGCGACAAGAGAGTCCTCGGGCACAGGGGCGGTCTTGACGGTCTGTAGTTCAGTGGCATGCTGAGCCTCGAGTACTTTAAGGGCAACGAAGGTGTCTTGGAGGGTCTGGTCAAGGGATCGGAGTCGCATCTTGATGACTGGCCAGAAGCCTGAATTGGGCAGTCCTTTGATGAAGATATTTTTCAATCTGACATCACTCGGGCAGCCAGGGTACGCTCTTAACCGCGCTTGGAGGGCGCGCAGTCGATGCAGGTACGCGTCAGCATTCTCAACCGACGGGGTATACTTCTCGCTGAGCAGCTGCGTCTCGAGGTTGTCTTGCATGCCCGCGCTATGGATCATAGCCCCCTGGTTGGAAGCTATAGCTTCCCAGAGAGCACGAGGGTCGTTCTGTAGTGCTATATCCATATATTGGGCACAGGTATGCTCCGAGAGGTGAGAGACGATTATAGACAAGGCCTCCTTCCTGTCGTCATCCCATGTCTGGTCTTCAGAAGCAGTCTGTGGTCGTGGGAGTGGTGCCTCTTCGAGGACATGCTGGGAAACGCTCTTTTCCATGAGCTTTTTGATAACTGAGGATTTCCAGAGGTAATAGTTGTCATCCGTCAGCAAGCGTTTTTCTTCGTCCTCGAATGTAGCTTGTGGCGGCATATTGATCGTGAGTAAATTTTCGCTTCGCTAAGAGGTAGCGATTTTTAGTGGTAGTATAAGAGAGGGTGTTTTTGAGTGTAGGTTGACTATAGTCAAAAAAGTAGGCATGAATTGATCGTTTGCTTGAGGTTTTCTGATTTTGTTGAATTGCTACTGTGATAGAATCAGGAGCAAGGAGTACGGTAGTAGATTAGGTGTGAGAGTACTGAGAGCTATACCTAGTAAGGAGTAGCCAAGAGACCAGCCAAGAGGCTAGTCCATATCGAGTAAGTTGACGTAAATGGCAAGCAGCTTACGTAACATCAAAGCGAGCTTGGGAGTGCACCTACCAAGGTACATACGCGGAATTGAGAGTTTACAGAATTTGATGAGGCGTGTTTATTTGAATGATTTGAAATTCGAAATCTTTAGTCTTCAATTGTCAGTACCGGTACTTCAATCACGTTGTCTGCCATTTTGGGATTCTGCCTCTCGTCACCACGCGCACTTTTTGACTGACCAATCAATTCCATTCGCTAAAAAAGGTTATTTGCATTTTTTCATGAGGCCACATTCCCCCTTATAAGGGAAGGAGCTCTCCGGTAATACAAAGCTTCGCAAGCTCGCTTTGACAAGGGAATACAGGCAGCAGGCAGAACTCAATATTCCAACACTTATCGCAGCCGGGACAGTACAGAGAAGAGGATGTGGCGGTTGAGGGAGGGGCGAGCTGAAGCTATTACTTGTTGAGGGGGAAGGGCGAGAGGAGATGGATGATGTTGATATTGGTGGATTGTATGTTTGTATGTTTGTGTGTGACTGGAGGTTGGAGGCTGTTCAATAACTTGAATCACATGGCTATCATATAGAAATCAGAGGACGGGATATTAAAAAAAAAAAAAAGCTATATTAGGCGAGTAGGTTGGCTGTATCTGTCTGCTAGCATGGAGGGTCAGGGGGACGATTTCCTTGTATATCTGAACCAATATATATATATATATATATATATATTAAACAAATGTCTTGTTTTATATGCAAGCTTCTTCCGATTCAGTTTATAAGATGAAAGAGGGAGAAAGAGGAAGAGAAGAGAAGAAGAAAAATAGATGTCGTGGATAATTATCTGCTCCTTTCCTTTTGTTCCCCGATTCGTGACTTGGTAGGATCGTGTTTTTCTTGAGCGGAAAAAGGAAGAAAGCGAAAAGAAAGAAGGAAATAAATATCTGAGATATGACGCACGCGGAAATATCTCCCTATCGAACGTGGGGTATAGAGATGAAGTAGAGACCATGTCAAATTAAACAAGCAAGCAACCAAGCAACCAAGCAACCAAGAAAGCAACCAATACAGACAGACCCTACTGACCACCAATCTGCCTCCTCGGAACCGGTCTGATCCACGCAACGGCCACGTTGACACCGATGGACACAACACCTATGATCCAAATGACGCGCGCGTAGTTCTTGCCATTGTAGCGGAAAACGATGGCGAAGATGATGCCCCCGAGGTTTCCCGCCGCGCCCACGAGGCCCGAGACGATCCCGTTCGCGAACGGATGGACGTGAGGCACGACGGCGAAGTTCGCGCCGTTGGCGGCGTCCATGAAGACGGCGAGGCCGGCCACGAGACTGAACATGGTGGCCTCCTGCCGCGCGTTCCGGAGGCCGATGGCGAGCTCGAAGCCGCCCATGGCGACGCCGCAGAACACCGTCCACGCCTTCTTGGCCCCGACCGAGCCGGCGGTGTACTTGTAGACGACGTCGGCGACGATGCCGCCCATGGGCCGGAAGAAGACGTTGAGGAGCCCGAACATGGCCGCCCAGCGCCCGGACCCGGTCTGGCCCAGGTGCGGGAAGTTCTTGAGGTACATGGACCCGATGATGGAGTTGATGGCGAGCTCGCCGCCGAAGGAGCAGGCGTACTGCGCCGCGAGGGAGAGGGTTTGGAGGGAGAACAGGACGGCGAGACCTTCCTTCACCGTGGGCGCCACGACGACTTCGTGCTCGGCCTTCTCGATTGCGGAGCGGGTGTTGGCTGCTTCTTGGTCGGGCTCGGAAGCATACGTGTGCTCGCCTGCGGGTCCTGTCTTCGCGAGGATCGAGGTCGGCGAAGAAGGGACGGCCACGATGTTGTCGAGAATCTGATGGCGGTTGGCCCAGACGCCGGCGGGACAGTCTTCACACATGAAGAGGATACCCAGTGCGACGGCAGTGATGATGATGAAGGGGACGATGAACGAGACTCTCCATGCTACGTGAGGTGTAAGGTTCTGGTCATTGACGAGAGAGTCGAAGATGGCGGGCATGACAAAGTACTAGAGCTGTTTCTTAGCATGACGAAGATGATGGGCTGGCTATCCATGGAGAGGAGCACGAACCGTAATGCCACCACCCGAGTTACCGAAACCTCCAGCCAAAGCGTTCGCCGTGCCGACAACGTTCTTGTCGAAGAACGCCGTCGACCAAACCTGGCACGGGACGAAAGAAGCGCCGAGTATACCGATAAAGAACCGCAGCACGACGATGCCAGCCGGCGTGGTCACGGTGCCCGCGAGCGCAGTTGGGATGGCACCACCCATCAGGCATCCCACGAAGACATAGCGAGGGCCGACTTTATCGCAGAGGGGACCAGCGATGAGGCGGATGACCAGCGTACCGGTGAGAGCCATGATATTGGAATTGGCCACCTCATTCTGGCTCATGCGAAGATCCTCACGAATAGTGCGGGTGAGAAGTGGCGGGAAGGCATACCTGCGATGTGAATGTGAGCAATTGCCTGCGCGCCGGCAAGTGAGAAAGTGGGAGGTGAAGCTAGGATGGGATGGGATGGGATGGGATAGCTACCAGGACAAGAATGCGACCAGGAATCCAAACCAGGAGAAGAAGAAGGTCCGGCCATATCTGTCGATTGGGTTAAGCATAGGGATCGAGCGCGCTTTGCCGTTCAGCGGATTGACCTCTGGCGCCGTCCAGAGGAGAGAGAGCTTGAAACCCATGGCGATCGGTTGGGTTGTTGTTGTTGGTGTTCTTGTTCTTGTTGTCGGCACCGTACGGATGTTTCAAGCGGGTGTTATCGTTGACCTCCGAATGATTACTGATCTTGCTGCTGTGCAAGGTGAAGATCAAACCAGACCAAACCACGAGAAATACCCCGCCTGGTATATGTTGTTCTGTATGGGAATATATCTCTCCACTTCACCCCACCTTGGTTGCGCTCGTCTGAGGATGGACATTAAAGATATCCATAGACTAGGGAAACGTATGTCTTAACTCTCTTCTCGCAGCGTATACGACGTCCTGCAATTCATAGTCCGACTCGCAGATATCGGATGCAGCAAAGGAAGTATAAAAGTGAAGTGTAAAGATATACTACGTAGTATGAAAGAAGAGTGCATGCCCCGAATCCACGGAATATCGAGCGGGACGAAGACAGTGACGGGGTTGGCGGAAGGGGACTTGTTGAGTCGCTAGCCTGAGATAGGAGCTGTTTACCTGCTCTGCTTCTTCCTCACTTCCTACTCTCTCCAATGAATACATGCCGAAAGTATAATTTTGCAAGGGATCTTATCAGGTCTCAAAACCGATCAGCAACATAAGGATTCATTCAGCCTTGAAAAGTATCGTTGAGCCAGTATCTAGTCTGTGCTATGGGGTTGGCAGGGCTATAAGGCGTTCAGAAATCACCGCTCTACGAATTACGGAGCTGAACTCCGGCATTTATTTATAGAATGGGTTAGTATTGGAATGTAAGGTTTTCTCTGATATTCCTTGCATGAGCTAGCCTCTGGGCTACTCCTTCTTGTAGTACCTAGGTACGATCCCCCCCTCCCTGAATAAAAGACCGAAAGTATATCTTTACTACTTACTGTAGGGGTTGACCAGGGGGTTGTAACCCTCACGCTTGGGAAGCAGTTCCTCAAGAATTTATATAATTCGTAGCAAAATCGATATCGAGCACTGATTGATGCTCAAGGAAAATCTACCATAATACTAGGAAATCAATATATGCGTTATTTTGCTACATTGAACAAGCGGTCAGCTTTAAGGTTAAAATATGCTTTCATCACCAAGTGGGTCCGTCTTTTATTCAGGGAGATAGTACGTAATATACGTATGCGTAGTACGTACTGCGACGAATATGCGAAGCCGCAAAGCTAAAGCTGGTTTACAAAGTAGTAGAAAACGACTAATAACCTCTTAAGCGTCAGGTTTTGTGGCCTTGTATAAAGGGTATTCTTCGATCAATTCTTTTTCAACTCAAACCTTTTCTCGGTAGCGATGATTTAATAAATGCAACCGATACTGTTAAAGACCTTTCTTTGTAGCAAGAATGTTTTCCTTCCCTCACTTAGTATTGATATCGATAGTGTGGAGGGGAAGAGCTCCGACATATACCTGACATCGAATCAAGAGATATATATGAATATGATCATAATAGAATCGTAAGTGAAAAGAAAAAGGAAAGGAAGACGTTCGAATGACATTCGAATATGTTTTACATATATGTATGTATATGATTGATGATAGCTTGAAGAAGAACCAATTACTCGTTTATATACTGCCTTATACGTGATTCATCCACGTGCTAAGGGTGCTTGGTAACAGTATTAGATACATAGACAAAACAAATAGAGACCGCCAGCTCCACTACAGTAGCGATAGTTTCAAATGTAGTAATGGCAGAAATTTAAGCGATTCATTGCGTAAAGTAAAAGACGAATTAGATTCTAATCAAATAATAATCGATAATTGATTATTCCATCGAATCATACGACTAAAGGTTTTTCTATAGAAGATATACTAATGGATTGATTTTTATATAAATATTTTATAAGTGTAATAGTAATTATTATAATTTTTTTTCTCTTTCTAACATGCACGAAAAATCCGCATGCGCTTCCGATCCGAAATCGCTTACGCGGATTAAGATTGAAAACATGTAAGGAAGCCTATTTAATTGAGCCGACGATTACATCGTTTCCGCACTCTTGTTTTTATCATGATAGTAGCAACTCAATAAAATCAGCAGCCTTAAACACTATTAATTCAAAACCACTTTCGTTGACTACAGTCAACTTTTACTTATCACTTAAAATATACCTTAAAGCCTCCCTCCCTTACTCTTCCGCTCAATTTGCTACTTTTCTTTCAGCAACTGATATTTTTTTCATATATAATATATCGGATACACAAAAGAAATCGGACGAAGACGGGAAGCTTTTTAAACCCATTTACGACGATTGTTACCTGTATAATGCCCCGCAACTGCTCTTAGCCGAAAACCTTGAGTCTGCGATTTTTCGCGATACGCGTTTTCTTTACATTTCATTATTACCAACGGTGACCCGAGATAAGCTCGAAGGGTTATAGTGATGATAAGACACCCAGTCACGTGTGACTATTCCATACCGGTCTGATAAGATTTCTGGGCGTGCTATGACTTTTAATCCCATATCAAGTATTTTATTATCTTGGCCTTTCGAATAGATCGGCTCGAAATGAAAGAAGTAAGTATCGGTTCCTCATTCATTGAACTACTACCTAGTCAAGAGACTGCGATGACGCTGCATACTTGGAATAAAGGTATTTGCCTTCTAGTATTTACCTCGGTTAGCTCTCGGTAAATGCTTACGTCACATCTGTTTCGGAGTATTCGCTTCCGAGTTATACGGTTTCTACATTCTTTATATAATATTGATTTACTCCTTCAGATAAAGGGGATCCTTTTTAATTGAAGAAGAATTAAGAATCATAAACCAGAATTAATATTAACCGAAAGATAATTTTACTTGTTGTTGTTGGTGTTGTTGTTATTGTTATTGTTATTGTTATAGGATTTATTAACGTCGGGCGGGTAGCAGGCGAAGGCTGAAGCCTGCCGCCCTGGGATTTTTTATAAGATACGGCGACGTATTAAGCTAAGGAATTATATATAAAAAGGCTTTAAAAAGTAATTCAAAGTTCTGCAGTGAAAGCTATTATCGTTAGCCCTTTTTTTTAACGAATAAAATGGATTATAATGAAAAGAAATCTTTCGCTGAAAGAAAATTATAAAAAAATTATCGGTATATGCATATCGACCCGAGGTAGTTAGTAGTACCTTAAAGGATAGTAGGGGGTCATTTAAATGGTCCTCTGATCCTCTTTTATAAGAGACGACCATTGGACCACTTAAATTCAGTACTAAGCTCTTTTCAAGAATAGTTTACCGAGAAGACCGTCCCATTGAAAGAAATCGTTTTGTAGCCGTTTTATAGCCGTCCCCGTTTATATTTTTGAAACAGGCCTATTAATAAGCTCGTTTTAAAAAATTGAAATAGTTCGATAATTATTTAAAAAATGGTATAATTATAAATAAAAATTGTCTTTCAAATGGAATCGTTTTAGTGATAATTTAATAAATTCGATGCTAAGATATTTCTCGGTATCGCTGCCACGACTTATATATCAACGCTTTAATTTTCTTATAATCGGAATCGATCAATTCAGCCAAAGTTTGCCTGCGCGCATTAGGGGAGGGTGTGGTAAAGGAGTGGTAGAGTAGAATGTAGACTAGCAGGTAATAAAAAAGAATAGAAGATTATTTGCTTATTAATTTACGTTTTCCGGGACGGTTTTAAGCTTAGGGACGGCTATGGGACGGTCTTAAAACGCTCGAAAACGGTCCCAAGACGGTTTTTATACGAAAAAACGAGTATTTAAAAAAGACGATTTAATCAAATAAAATAGCTCCATTTTAGCTACGATTTAAATAATTTGAATCGTTTGTTTTCAAATTCTATTCAATCTTAAGTATTGGCTTAGGGTGATCCACCAGCCATGCCAACCTATTAAAATCGTCCCTAAAAGAGATGGTTATCAGACGATCAGCTGACCGTCTAAAAGCCCCTTGCACGCTAGTATTTACGAAGTTACGAACGTTCACGAAATCGCTATCTCTACTTAGCACGTCGCCGTACCCCATGGGAGGTCCCCAGGGTCCAAGCATTGCGTTTTGGATACCCACTCGACGTTAATAAATACAACAACAACAACAACAACGAAATCGCTATCGGCGATCTACTACATCCCAGGCGGAAGTATTTCCCCTTGAGGATAAGGTAACCCGGGGGTTTATAGTGGGAACTAAACCTTTGAGGCACCCTCGAGGGGTAATACTTACGCTTGTACCGTGGTAATTGTCGGTACATCATACCGACCTAAGGCAGTTGGAGGTGATATGGCCAACTCGGGGATCTCAGGGACCGATGAGCACGCCTCGCTTAGCGTGGTACGCGCTTTAAGGAACCCTTAACTTCGATAGAAACTTATTATATAGCTAGTGCACGTGATTCTACTTATTCGTATAAAAGGAGTCAGCTCTTTTGAACGTTAAGGAGAATACAGAAGTCGAATACTACATTTTTATTAAGTGCTTTGCAATTGCAAGTACTTTTACGACGTTACGTGTCATGCGTGACAATGATACCTTACAAGAATACCATGTCACGCCCGACAGGAATACTTTATTCGGATACTTAGTAATCGTCGGCTCGCTTAGGTAGGCCTCCTTTCAGCCTTTCAGTCTTAGTCGGTATAAGCGACTGCGGATCGGAAGCGAGTGCGGATTTTTCGAATGTGTTAGAAATTTTTATTGTCACCAACGGTGACCCAAGATAAATTCTAGTAGTTGTGGTAGTGATAAGTAATCCAAGGGTTGTGGTAGTGATTAGTCATCTAATCACGTGAGAATATTCTATACGGATCTGGCAGGATTTGTGATCGTGCTAAGACTTTTATTTTATGTCAATCTATTGAACTTTTTTCGGAACGGGTCGGCCCGAATTAAATATGAAACACAGCTAAGCTTAATTTAGCCACCGCTATCAATTCTGCCGTACGTAAGGCTGCTATACGTAACGCACGTCGCTAGCACTGCCTTACGTAATACGTAAAGCATTGCAGCTAAGCTGCTATATGTAGCTTACGTAAGGCTGCTATAC